CAGCCGCACCCAGCGCTCTCTGTCAGCGGCGAGCATGGCCAGCACTACCACTTGCTGCTGCCCTCCCTCCTCCACCTGAGGGGCGGGCCCAGCCGCACCCAGCGCTCTCTGTCAGCGGCGAGCATGGCCAGCACTACCACTTGCTGCTGCCCTCCTTCTTCCACCTCCTGGAGACCCTGCACCAGGAGGGGAGGCACTTCGCCGTCATCCTGAGGACCTTCGGCACAGACCTCCCCCGTGCCCTGCACGCCGTGCACTGTGCCTTGGAGGGGCAGCACCCCCAGTTCCCTGCCCTGCGGGACCTCTCGGTGGGTGCCCTGGGAGCAGAGGGCTGAGAGCATTGTGCATTTGCCCCGGCCCCCAGCTCCCCACACACTGCCACCTCGTTGGCATGCCAAGCTCGGGTCGCAGCGATCTGTGCAGCTTTGAGAGGGGAGCATACCCCTCCCTGGGTCTTGTGCTCCCTGCGGGCTGTCTGGGGAGGAAGCTGCCCAGGCCTGAGAGCCAGCGTAGGCAAAGGGTGTGACCAGGCTGGTGCCTAGCAGTGAGTGGGGGCCGATGGCCGGGGGGACGTCCCTTCTGCTCAGGGTGCGGCACGTGCCGCCTGGGGCTTTGAGGCTATTTGGGGAGGGAGAGGTTAGCGGTGTGTCCAGCCTGCAGCCCTGCCCTTCTGTCTCCTGCCTGCCATTGCAGCTCCCGGTGGACCTTACAGCAGGCCGCATCCGCTGCAGTGAGCGCGAGGTGGTGCTGAGCCAGGGAGCAGAGCGCGTTTCCAGCAGGGACGGAGGAAGGAAGCTGTACAGCTATTTCAGCTCCCTGGAGGGCGTGGTTGGCTTCCAAGACCACTTTGATTGGTGAGAGACAAGAGGGGGCCTGGAAGTGGCCTGGGCGTGCGCGCTCGCCCCTTCGCACGCCCCGGGAGGCTGCCCCCAGCCCTCTCACTGCTGAGGACTTGCTCTGCCAGCCAGCCCCCTCCCCCACCCGGGAAACGCCCCGTCCCTCTCCGCTGCAGGCCCGCGCTGTGCGCTGGTGCACGTCACCTTCGCTTAGGCGCCCCGAAGAGCCAGTTCCCTCCCTCCCCGTCGGCCTCCCCTGCCTCGGCGCGAGCGCAGAACCCTCAGGGCTCGCCTGCGCTGGGAAGAGCTTGCCCCTTATCCCAGCCCCAGGCCAGACCCCTGGCACTGGACGGGCCCGAGCCTGGGCCTGCTCCACACTCCTGAGGGCCCTCGTCCCACTTGCTGTCTTGCAGGTGGGCCAGTAATCAGTTCTCCTGCCGGGGTGGGAAGCCTGTTTGGATTGACCCGCACGACTCCTGCGTGCAGCACATCTTCATCGACGACAACGTTCGCCCGGACGACTCGGACTCCATCGTCTGCCCCCAGGTACCGGGCCCTGGCTGGACAGGGGCTCTGCCACACTCCTAGGGGGGCGGGGGGCTGGGCTGGGGGGAGCAGGGTTTCCCCAGGACTTCCTTCGCTGGCATGAGCGGTGCTTACTCCTGCTGGGCCCCGGGCTGGCCAGCCTGCCTCTGCTTCCTGTTGTGTGCTCGAGGGGCATGCGCCAAAGCCAAGGGTATTAGAGACAGGCGTGTGCAGGCCTCCTGCCCCCCCAGCGGAGAGCTGGTGCTCCGGTCTCACGGGGGGCCTGTGGGGGCTCCCCAATGTTGGGGGGAGCCTGGGGCTGGGGCTGGCCCCTGGGTTCCCCACCCCTGAGCTGAGTAATGGAGAAGGCCCTTTGTGGAAGCCAGGCCCCTGGCCCCTTTGCTGACCGTGTGGCAGGAGCAGGCCTGCTGCCACCCCATGCCTTCCGCCCAGCTGCTCTCTCGGCCCGAGCGCTCTGGAGCAACCCAGGCCGCTGCCCGTCCCCTCGGACTCCAGAGCAGGATTGTTGGCGCTGCGGGCTCGGGGCATGCTGGGTGCATC